GCCTCCCCTTTCATTTTGTTCCTTGAGTTTTCCTAAGAACCCTCAAGCCATCTCTTTGTGCACCATTCCTTCTTCAAGACACAAGAGAGAAGGAGACTAGAAACTGGTCATGGTTTCTTTTATGAAGAAACTACAAGTCTTGCTTTCTGCTACTGTGGTCTTGCTCTGTGCTTCTTTAGGCTCCTAAAATTTCTCCTAGCTCCTCCACGCTCAGCAAAGAAGGCAAGGTCCAGCCACCCACATGAGAGGTAGGTTGGGTGAGGAAGGAAGGGGATACACCTGGTGCATGGTGCACACAGATGTTTTTAGCTAGATGAGAAAGGAAATTCATCCTAAAAATCTCACCCATTGCAAAGGAACCTAAGGCCAAGTCCACTCCCTTCCCTGCTGTGAGTGAGGGCGTTTGCTGCCCTGGCTTCCTGAAGCAGAAGGGGCCAAGCTGCTGAGAGTGGAGCCTGCCAGAAGGCACCTCTGAGCTGTGCTCGCTTGGAGCTTGCCCTCTGCTTACTCATTGCCCTAGTGAAAGCTGCCCTGGGCGTCTGTAACACAGCAAGTGATGCCGGGTGAAGGAAATGGGCATGGCTCGCTGACTGCTGTGTGCGGAGGTCACCCGGAGGAAACCTGCGATTGTTTCATTGTGCCGGGAGGGAAGCGAAAGGCCCAGCGCTGGCAGGACACTGCCACCAGGCACGGCAGGCTCCGAGCCTGCTGCAAGACGCAGCCGTGCTATATTAGGGAATGTGCTCTGGCTTGACGTTTTTTGGCTCTGCGGGACTGGTGTGGAGGCTCAGTGCTTGCACAGCAGCCTCAGAGCCCAGGCGCTCTATAGGAGGGTGGCTGGCAGGTCTGGAAGGAAGGACTTCTCCACCCCTTAGAGACCCGAGCAGCATTTGGCTGTTGTATCTGCCTGCTCCTGAGCTTGCTCACCCACTGCTAAGACCCACTGGGCGCTGAGTGGTCTTGGAAATCGGTGCTGGAGAGGAGGTGAGGACGTTATTAAATCAAAGCTGGAGCAGGACATTATTTTTCTCTCCATACTGGAATTATAGAGGTGTGTGTGTTTGCGTGTATTTCCATGTAGCTATATTATTGTGCTTGCCTTCCAAGAGCATGTTATTTTAGAGCATATGGCAATATTATGTCACATATTTTGAGAATGGTATGCATTCCTGTGATTCACACCTTACTGAAAGCTGTTTATAAGACGACAAAATTTTGAACTCTTTCAGGAGATGAGAGATAAAGGGGAGTAGGATCTGCATCGGAGTGTTTTACAGCAGGAGGGATTAGTGGGGTGTCCCTAAAGGAAGCACACTTTAGCAAGACAATGAAATCTCAACAAATTTTAACAATAAATCATAGTTGACTGAAGATCAAAGGCACCATGTGCAACAAAGGGATAAAAAAGAGAGAGACTCTGGTACCACTTTTGAGATGAAGAGGAATTTTGTGGGGATGCAGTGTTAAGTGCACACTTATTTCCTTGAATCAGAATGACAGCAGTGCCTTTGTTGTGACAATGCTAGTAAATGTTGTAAGAAAGCTACTATATTCATCTGCAGTTCATTCTATATTCTCTCTCTCTTTTTTTTTTTTTCCCCTTTAGTCTTTCTTAGCACTAATTGGGTCTTTTCAGTAAGACGGTGGGGTTTGATTCTGTGAGCTAAAGGTCCAGTCTCATAATCAAAGCAGATAGGGATCTTGAGAAGACCCTTCTGTGGGCAGATGTGGAAAAGCTGAGGTCCTGAGCAAGAGCTTCCTCTGAAGGTTTCTGAGAGGTATTGCAACAGAAATGTGAGACCAAACACAAGTCCTACTTCTAGGTCTGGTGGTGGAAAGCTCATGAGAGTTCACTGCAATTCCTCCAGGACAGGTAATCGTATAAACGTCAAATGGTGCTGAAGGTCTTGATTTTTAGGAAGGAGCAGCAAGATGATCATTCTTGTGATGCAGTGTTTTACAGTATGAGAATAGCTGTACTCCAGTAATTTGTATATATGTATGAGCACCAGGAGAATGGAAATGATCAAAAGATTTCAGTGATCTGGTTTTATTTGCTTAAAAAAAAATCCTTAAATTTATATATGACTTCTGAATTTGATGAATTGCTCTGGAAAGAAATTGGAGAAAGAACTGAGAAGTCATGGCTTTTTTCTAGCATATTTAAAATAAAATGTTTATATAAAAATGATTTTTTTAATTTTTTTTTATTTTCTGGATTTGAATGGGTTGCTTTTGACCTAAAACACGTTTCTAAGGGACGGTTTTCCTGTTATGAGAAAGATTAAACATTTTTTAGCGTGACGAAACGACTAAAAATATCTAACACAAAGACGGATGCAATGACAGAGAAAATATAATAATTTCTATCTGCAGCTTTAATCAGGAAACCTGTGTTTCTTTGTTCCCCTCTCTTTTGGGCTGATTTACCCTTAGACTTGGGACGGGTCACACAGAGAGAAATTTTCATGCTTGGCTTTGAAGATGGATTCTAGAGCTGTTTTAAATATTATGATTTAGTTTCACTCCCAATCCATTTTCATTACGATCATCAAAATGAGTCCCCTAAAGCAGGGGGACACAGAGGCTGAGAGAGGCAGGGAGGGACAGAGGCCCACTTGGCAAGGAGAGGGGGATGTACCTAACTGGGAGAAGAGTCACAAAAGAGCAAATAAATGAGACGTTCAAGAATATCTGTTTTGGGGAGGGAGAAACAGGGTTGGAATGGGAGTCCTAGCACGTGAGGCGTCAGTGTGACAGCAGGAAAGTCCTTGGCAAAACCCAGCGGTGAGGAGGGAAACTGCCGTGATGCCTATGCAAGACCCGGGGTCTCTACTCTTTGAAGAACTGCCCATGTCTTGTCATGCCTGTCTGCAGTGTTGCCCCAAGAAGAGTCACCAAGGTCACGTTTGAAGGGACAAGCTGCAAATGGGCATGTTTTGTGGGTTCGGTAGCATTACCTCGCACCTCTCTGTAACTTTACACCAGAGGAGCTCTGATCCATAGGGTAACTGTGACTGCTCAGGGTGGTTGTAGGTCCCAGCAGGCACTGAAACCCAGGGAACTGCTTCAAATGTGCTCTCCAGGGCATTTAGTCTTCTGATCCTCATTTCCTGAGCTCAGTGCAACCACATCAGTCCAGCAACGCTAGGGCCCTCCAGCAAAGGAATTGAGGCAGGCTTTAGCTGCGAACATAGGTTGAAATGAAAAAGCTTCTCAGGAGGAGAAAGGAAAAAAAAAGCAGATTTGGTGTTTAGTATTTTTTTGAGGGATATTATTGGTAAGAGTAAACAAAGGCAAGGCTGGAAAAAATAGCTTGTTACTACTTACCTTTTCTGTATATTGTCTGTGTGCTAAAAAAAAAAAAAAAAAAAGACAAAAAAGAGCAGCAATTGTAAGGTCACTGTCAGATTTGCAATATCAGCCTTCTCTTTGAACCTCCAGAAACCAATCCTGGCTAGCTGAACATGCAGAAAGTCACAACAGCAGCAACAAAATTTAAATCTCCCAATCCAGGAACAAATCAGAAACAAAAACAGCCCCGAGAAAAATCAACTAATAAAATAGCCTTTGCAAAAACCCTGCCCTTGGCAGTGTTTTCATGAAAAAAAAAAAAAAAAAAAAAAAAAAAAAAAAAAAAAGGAGGGCAGAAAAAGCCAGAGATTCCCTTAAGCTGCAAGACGCTTTGCTATTGCTAGTGATTTTATGGAGCGGGTGTTTGGCTGCCGTGCTAGTGGGCAGGAATATAAAGCCATGAGGCAGATCTGTATCTGCAAGCAGACCACTTCAAATGATTTACAAATGCACCTTGGCTTTGTCCACCCTTAAATTGCGAGTGGTTTGTAAGGCACCTTCTAATTTTCGTGTGCATCTGTGCACTTGCTTTCTTTGCCGGGTAAACGGCCAGTCTTGCAGGAACGGGCTGGAAAATGTTGGTGGGGTGGCCGGGCCAGGCCGGGGAGGGGGTGGAAATCCTCGGAGTGCGACGTCTAGGCTGGGAATGCAGAGGAAGCGGAGGCCTCCAACCCTGCACAGGAAGCAATCTCAGAGCAGGCCTTAAATGCCAGATTCCAGGCAGAGTTTAACTAACCACTGACAGCTCTGTAAACAAAGCAGGGACAAAAAGAGAACAGCTTTCCCTTTTCTGGTAGTCATTTTTGGTTTGGGGGCTGCAGGGGAATTCTGTAATACGCGGCTGGATGGGATATAAACTGGGGCTGAGGAGGTTTTGTATATGAAGAACTTATAAAGGGGAAAATATTTCATGGACTAAATCATAAAGGAGAAGGTAGGGTGCGGGGAAAACGCGTGGATTAAGCTGCAAAAAAAAAAAAAATTACTACTTTTAGTTCTTTGAGCGGGATTTATACATAGCTTGGCTCCTCCTGGGTGGTATTTAACAGCTCCAGCTTCTTTCTCTTTCTCTTTTTCTTTTTTTCCTTTCTTTTTCCTTCTTTCTCCTTTTCTTTTTCTTTTTCTTTTTTTTTTTATTTTTCATTTTCTTTTTCCTTTGCTTTTTTATTTTTTTCCTTTTCTTTTCTCTCCTTTTTTCAAAGCAGGAGTGCGTGGACAGATGGATGAGGACTAGCTTGTGCAAAATATTTATCTGTGCAATTAGAGAAACAAGGAAATTCTTATGCAGCATTTTTACTGTGTCCGGTGTAAATTGGAAGCTTGAAGTTAAAATCCTGCTGAATTCTTGCTGTTGTTTTTAGGAAAAGACCTGTGACGTTACAAATAACTAGTCTGCGGCTAGCACTTGTATACAGTTCTTATTTAAAGCATGTTGATTTAATTTTGAATAGGAAACTAAACTCAGGCATGGCTCTATTCATCCTACTAGACATTAATCTTGTTTATCTCAACTGTACTGAGGAAGTTAAATTTCTTGATAGAAAAAGAAAATAGCTGGAGCGAGGTTAACTAAACCGAATGGACTCAGTTGGTTAAACGCCCTCATTGTGTTTTATCTGTCATCTAAATGGTCTTCTCTCTTTCAGATTGGGAGCTTTTCGGGGCTCTGCACACTTGAGCACTCAGCATGGATGACTTTGAGCGTCGCAGAGAGCTCAGGAGGCAAAAGCGCGAGGAAATGCGCCTGGAAGCAGAGAGGTGAGGGGCATTACATTGGGCAAATGGGTGCAGGAGGTCTTGATTTTTATTAGCAGCAGCTTTGAGGGTCTCAGCCTCGGTATGCAAAGTGCATGACAGCTAACCATGGAGTTCTCACTAGCGATGTGTGCTTTGAAGTGCCTCCAGTCACTACTGTGGGAAAGGCTGGATGTCAGTGGTATCCAGTGCCCGATTCCCTTAGGTGTCCGTGTGCCCTGGCATCTAGGTGTTTTGTTCTATGGCTGAATGTAAACACTGAAGGTGGACTGTGTGGCAAGGTGTTCCTTCTGAGCATTGCTAGGAAGGCTCGTGCTCAGATATCGTGTGGGTGAGTGACCACTGTACAGCAGATGTTTATCTTATGAGACACAGAGCTAAAATTATAAGATATGGACTGAAAGCTGAGATGAAATAACCCCCTTGGTATACATGGCACAGCACAGCTGTGAGCTGTGGGTCATTACTGTGCAACTACTGCAGAGTTACTAGTGCCTGTCATTTTTATTCAATCACAGACACTTCATTTGGGTGCCAAAGGCAGCATTTGCTCTCATTTACTGTGGATTTGCTTTGGCGCAAATGAGAACAGAACTGGGCATGGATACAGTGATACAAGGTGAAAATATTGGGAGTGACATTTCATAATCTAGCTGCATTTTATACTGGTACAGTTCCACTCCCTTTAACGGAGATTCTTGTGATTTACGCTGAAGTATGTAGGAAGGGAGTCAGACTCCATGTATATTTTTGTAACTCCTTCTTTGATAGAAGGTAGATAGATGTGGTATATTAAAATTGTAATGATTTTTTAAAATGGAACTTATGTATGTATCACTAGCTAGGCACAATGTTGTTTCAGTTTGTGTTTAGTTTTGAATGTGGGCTTCATTTTTGTTTCCATTTTTCTGTGTTGTTTCCCATGCACCGAATAAAGTGTGTTGTTATGAGTTGTGCTGTTTGAGAAAGTGGTGTTTTTTGTTGTTGTTTTTTGTTTTTAGAAAAAAAGCCTTAAAAATCTAAAGCGACAAAATGAAGTGTCTAAATAGGTTTAATTTGCCTTCTTTGAGCTTTTCTAGTAAAGCCTGACTTCCATATCAGGGCTCTCTAATGGGCATTGATGGTGCTTCATGGGATGTCTCAGGCAGGTGAAATGCAGCAACTGGTTTTCTTTCAAAACAAAGCATGTGTGAACCAAGCGTGCAAACTCTCGCCAGGCTGTAGGACAAACCCATGAGCTCTGCAAAGCACCAGCAGTGCTGCCCATGGGTAAATAAACCTGCACCAAGTGCGATGGCCAAAGGGAAATGAGGCAGGAGCCTCCCTTTGCAAAACCCACCTGGCCAGCAGTCTCCCCCTAAAAAAAGGGGGAGAAGCAAATGTGCCATGGTGCTGAGCTACCTTCTTCTCCCAGAAGGTTTTCCTCCAGGCCTGGGGCCATATGTTTTGGTTGGAGCGCATGGGAGGAATTGCAGGGCTGGTGCCAGCCCCGCTCTGCTCAGCTGGGTAAGCAGAGAGCTGCTGCACCCAGCAGCGTCTGGCTGGCACTTCTCATCATATCGCAGCCCTTCCTCTCTTAGGCAGAAATGAGATGAAGTGAGGTGCGTGTTGTAGCTGTTGATGTGGGTGCAAATGCTGGGCACATGCACCAGCTGGAAGGAAGCCTGCTCTTTATCAGAGGAGTCAGAAATATTCAGATTTATCACATGCCGGAGGTCTGGACCAAGGCCCATTTACACTGAATGGGGATTCACTCCATATGCATCCATTTTAGCAGATTTTTTAAAAGCATGGTATAACGAGAACACATGGCATTTATATGATTTTAGTCTACTTCTGTGCTTTTTTTTTTTTACTTTTTTTTTTTACCTTTTTTTTTTACTTTTTTTTTTTTTTTAAAGGAAAGGAAAAGCTGAGATTTTGACCTTTGTCGCTAAGACATATGCTTAGATAACTGTGGAGGATTCTGGGGGATGTAGTCTACGAGGAGTTTTGTACTATGGGAAAACATCACTTTCCCATAAAGTTATTCAAGTTCTTACACATGTGTGAGAAGGCTGTGGTGGGATCTGCACGTCGGCGATGTGGTGGTGTGACCAGCTTGTGGATGCAGTGGCAGCAGCAAGATCTGCTGTGGAAATCAGTATTCCCGCGTACTGGTGAGTCACAGTGGGGCCCTGCCACCCAGTGTGACTGGTGTACGTCCCCTTCTGGGGGACTGGAATGTGAAGTGATTAGGCAAGACAGTGACAGTCTCTGCCATCAGAAACAACCCCCTGTCCACCCACATTCCCATCCTTTGGGGAAATGTTTTTGCAATGTCCCAGGCAAAAGTCCCTGTGGCAGCTCTGCTGGGATTTTGCTGGTAACCTTTGGGAAGGGGGTGAGGTTCATGGGAGCCCAGCTGGAGGAGCAGAGGCTCTGGCCTGCTTCCCTGTGCTCTGCTGAATTGCTGCAGGAGCACTCTGTGCCCTTTCCCACACATTCGGAGACTTATAGCAATAAATTGCTCTATGCCAAGTCTTGCTGCACTCCCTCAGCTGCTGCCAACTTCAAGCATTCAAGTATCATGAGTCAGACCCCTTAAAAGTCACAAGACTACTTTAAAAACCTTGAGATCTTAAAAATAATTTAGTCTGGCCTTTTTATTTTGCCTTAGTAATAATAGGGCCTAATTCTCAAGGTCTGATGTGACTCTTGGAGCTGGAGCTTCAAGAAACCTACCCTCATGGAGGGAGTGGAATGTCAGGACTGTTGGAGACATGTGTCTTTCTCTCAGTACCATTCAAATCAGAGATGAGGGCAGCACCAGACTTTGGGCAGTAATTAGCAAGTGAAAATGTCACACTGAGTTCTTTTCAGTGAATTTGTACTTTAGGGTTTGGGAGATCATCATCCTTACCTCTACAGTCATATGATGAGGTGTCTACATGCATGCCTTTTTCTCCTCATGTAAGCTATGACAGGATGCATATCTGCACACTTTCAGCACATGGCTTTATGAAGTGAGTTGTGTTTTCCTAAACCATGGCATGGAGGCTGTAAATGCTCCTTTGTGCTGAGTGTTGGTACCTGCCACAGTTACAGTATGTTGCCCTGCATCATCCCATCAATAAACTTCAGCCCTCATATAAAGCATCCAGATGATTATGTGTAGGCAGTAATGTATTTGCTAAATCTTTCAAGCACTGTTTAGTCTTATTTGATTAGAACAGTAAACCAAGAGAGCAGCCATTGCAACAGCAGAGCTTGTAACTCAGCCAGCTACAGTGACACATTTTGCCATTTCTTGAAATAAAGGCATGTGGAGAGCCCGTCTTCTCAGCCTGCTCCCAGTGCTCAGGAGAGGTCAAGGGCTGAGGATGTCTGGCACTGTGGACTCATGCACCGCACATGCATGAGACTGTTACTTGGCCTTGCTGGGTCTTGCCCAGAAGGAATGGTCGAGGTAAGGACTACTATATGTGCCAGTTGCTTTCCCAGTGTCAGGCATGAGCTTCTGCACGTCATTGATGTCAGTGCTGATGGCAGCCACTGTCCTGTACTGATACTCACATACCTTGAGTCTGGTCCTTGTAGGAAGGTCTTAAGAACTGAGTAGTCTTCTCATTAGAAAGCATTTGTTGTGATATGTAGCACTGACCTTCTGAAGTGGTATGTGTAGAAGTGATGCTGAGGAAACTTTTCCATAAGAAGAGCAATGGTGCAGTTCATACTTGGCATGAGCTTTAGCCTGGTGTTCACGCTGTGGCAAACAGAACCTAAATTGTTGCTGACTCAGAAACCTAGTGTTTCACAGGCATTTTTTCCTCTCATAATTTTGAAGGTAACCCACATGTCTTGGATGCCCTGCTTGGCCCAGGTGGAATATTTTGAGTTTTCACAACTTGAGGGGGCAGCCTAGATGCTGAGCAGCCTGTTTTGCAGCAGGAGCACAGACATGTGGGCAGGGCACATGCCAGGCAGCAGGTAGGAACTTTACTTTGACCAACTTTACTCCATGGTGTAAGACTTGCAGTGCATGGTCAGTAGCTCCCATGCCTGATGAAAAAATGAGGCTTGCAGGGCAACCCATGACAAAGTAGGGCAGCTGCTGTAACCGTTACCGCCTGCAGACACTTCATGTGTGGTTCATAGGAGATTGGACTCTAATGTCTCTATGGATGATGTCTGTGCAGCTGATGTGCAGAGGCTTTATGAAGCTCCTTAATTCCTGGGGGAGAACAGCACAGGGGCTAATTGTTAGATAAGGCCCAAGGTCCTGATCTGGAGCTAGCTGAAGTCAATGGGAAGCTGTCTGATGACTTTAGTGGGTTTTAGATTAAGCCTTACCTGAGTGATTCCGGATGGGTGATTTATGAGACCGTCTCAGTGACAGCCTTGATAAAGCGAGATGGATTCCATGCTGGCCCAGCCACAAGGTACATACTGTACTGAGATATCGGGGCTGTGACAGGTTACACTCATTTGATTGGAAAAAGCCCCTGTGTAAACAGAGCACAGGGAGCTGAGTGCTTTCCACTGGGGGAAAACCCACCTACTGCTTTGTGCCTCTTTCTGGGCAGAGATGATCTCAGGCAATTGGGTTTTGTCATTTTGACGTTAGTGTAAGCAACACTGGAGGAATTTCAGGCTAGGACTGGGCATTACGCTTGCACAAGTGGCTATGTGAATGTGTGAGACCAGAGGGGTGGTGTTTCTTTGAGAATTTCTTGCTGGTGCATCTTTTCTTCCACATCTGTGTGCAGCTGCAGCGAGCTATTGAGGTGAAATACGTGTTAAAGTGACAGTGGAATGACTTCTGTGATTTCAGTGTAATTGAGAGGAAAACCTGGCCCCTTGAACTCTCAGAAGAATAGCTTTCATATTAGTCTGTTTTGTACTTAAAGAGTGATTTTATGATTGGCTTACTTGCCATTGCACCCACAATGTATTTTTCTTTCTCCCTGGTGCCAGGACTCTCAAAAAATTTAAACTACTAAGTCCAGTTAGCCTTATTGCCA